GGTGGGTGGGGGGGGTGCTGTTCACTGCAGCCTCTCAGTGCTAAGGAGCGCCCGGAAGCGTTTTAGGAAGTAAGGGATGCCTGGCGTGGGCAGGAGCTGGGACGAGGCGGAGTGACTGCTCCGAAGCGCCCTTTCCGTGCCAATCACAGCTGCTGTCACACAGGCAGCTCAGGTACACACTCGGGTCTTATGGAGATGTCCACAGTGACCGGGCCAGTCTTACCCAGTGCTTCTCAGACCTCCTGGGACCCCGTTGACAGTGAATGTCCCCAGGCCCACCTCCCACACCCACTGGGGGAGAACATCCAGGTTGGGGCCTGTACATCGCAGTCTTTCCAGATGATTCTTTAGGGATATTAAATGTGAGAACCATCATTTTGCTATTCTTAAACTCGGATAAATCTGTCAGTTAATGTTTAAGCTGTGCCTTTTGCCAAAAAGAACCGCAGAAACAGCCAACACTCCCAGCCCCGTCGTGTCTTGCGAGACTCGGAGCTCCAGGCCCCTCTCCACGACCCTCTATTCTGCACCGTCAGGAATTGGGGTAAACTTAAGCCGCTCCCTCCTAGAACGGATCCTAGAGAAAGCAAGGATCACTGTGACGTCAGTCCAGTGACATCTTAGACTCCAGTGAAAACCCCACCGCAGCGAAGGGCCTGACGCTCTGCAGGGTACGTCACCACACTGCTTCCTCCCTTCCGTTGGAATGTTTTTAGCCAGAAATAATGAAAGATTCTGATTTGACTTGTTGATGGCCACACTGTGGCTGAAATGACACTCAGGGAGGCCCCAGCTGGACATCAATATGCTGTCCACCTCCACCCTGACCGCCCGCCGTGTCCCTCAGCCCCCCAAACCAAGGCTCCAGCAGAAACACTGCCTGTCTCTTACCGGGCCATCTCCTTGGTTTCCTGCCGCGCCGTGGCCATCTTTATCATGTCCTTCAGAAGGGGCATCCCGCCTTCTTTGATCAGCAGGGGGCAGTACTTATCCGCTGCGGGTAGGTAGGGGCAGATAGCAGGGGATCAGGGTGGGTCTTCGCTTAGCTTGTGGCCCAGAAAACCCTCCCTTGCTGTGAGGACTGCCCTCTCAGAGAGGTGGGACAAATGCGCAGGCCTGCGAGAGGGCCCTGCTCTAATCTGGGAAGAGCCATGTCTGCCCAGCCCGAGTGGGGGGGGACGGGACGGGGAGCAAGGGGTGAATCCTTGGAAAAGCTCCCCCAACTCTGGTACGCAGCAGCATTCCCCCCTCCCCCCCAACTCACTCTATGGAAAATATCACCTAAACTGGTGGCTTCTGTTCTCTGGGAAGTTTTGTAAAAATATAGATTCCTAAGCTTTGCCCTGGGTATTCTGATTCAACAGATCCAGGAACCGTTATTTGTGTATTTATAACAAAATACCACCAGGTGACGCTGGTGGTCAGCCAGGGTGGAACACCGTGCCTTTCCAGTGGGGGTTTCATGGTTCCCTCCAACCAGGAGCATTCGAGTGCCTGGTGTCCATGGAGAACACGGCCTTCCAATGGGCCTGCAGCAGCTCTAGGTGGCAGGAACTATCTTCACCGTCTCCATTTTACAGATGAAAGAACTGGGGTTCAGAGAGATGAAGTAATTCACCCACAGTCACTCCAGAGCTTGTCCGAGGGAGTCCCAGTTCAGAGCTCTTTCCTCTGCTACGCTGCCTCTTTGAGGTAAGGTGCTACTTTTTAGTAAGACTAACCTCAAAGAATAATAAAAGAGGCTACTGTTTATTGAACAGTCGGTATGTTCTAAGTGCTTTAACATGCCTTTTTTCACAGCAATCCTATGAGGTAAGTGCTATTATTATTATCCCATCTTAAAGATGAGACAGTTAAGGCACAGAGAGGTCGAGAAACCTGCTTAAAGTAACACAGCAAGTGGTAGAGCCAGTTTTCAAACCCAGGTTGTCTGCCCCCTGAGCCCGAATGCATATCCGCTCTGCAGGTTAACAGGACTGAGCATGTGCAGGCCCCGGCTCAGCACTTTCTGCTGGTCCTCTTTTCAGATCAATCTTATGAGGTAGGTGACATCATTCTCCCCATTTCACAGAGGAGGTTAAAGAACCCGCATCAGGTCACATAGCAGTGAGGGAGGGAACTCGGGGTCACACCTGGTCTGCCATCTAAGTCTTAGCGCGGCACCCTCTTTCTCACGTCCCCCAGAGTCGCCGAGCCGAGGACAGCTCAGGCTCTCCTACGGGAGGAGGCTGGGGCTTCCTCCCTATGTCCTGCCCCCTCTCTCTAAGGTAGGAAGCAAGTTAGAGCTGTTCTAAGGTTCTCTCCTGTTCTCTCGGATTCTTTGTTTGGGTGGCTCTCCCTCTGCCTTCCCGAAGGCATGGAGATTTCTGCCTGTTCATTCACATGGAAGCAGGAGACGTTAAGAGAGCTGTCTGGGAACTTTGGGTGGCCGTCTCGCCTGCCAGGCCTGTTCTGGTGATGGGGCCAGGCCAGCCACTATGCTGTGCGCCCCACAAATGCTGGAGAGCGAGGGCTGTGCTCCGAGGCACAGACACTGATTTTAGCTCTCCGGAGGGCAAGGCTGGGTTGTAAGCTTCTGGAGGGCAAGGCTGGGTTATAAGCTTCTGGAGGGCAAGACTGGATTATACGCTTCTGGAGGGCAAGGCTGGGTTATAAGCTTCTGGAGGGCAAGACTGGATTATATGCTTCTGGAGGGCAAGGCTGGGTTATAAGCTTCCGGAGGGCAAGGCTGGGTTATACGCTTCTGGAGGGCAAGGCTGGGTTATAAGCTTCTGGAGGGCAAGGCTGGGTTATAAGTTTCTGGAGGGCAAGGCTGCTCTCAGTCGGGGTGTCCCTGGCTCTGACCAAGGCCAGGGGGTACTCACGGTAGACAGACACAAGGTTGTACAGGGCCCAGGTGGCCCAATGCTGGCTGACGGGGGAAATGCCTTGGGGAAGGAGGCGAAGAATTGGCTCAAACGACCTGTGGGAAGAGAAATCAAGGTCACTCTGGTGCCGGGGCTGGGGGAGAGCATCTTGACATTGCTCCTCCCTGCGGGGCCCTGTAAACAAACTGTGAGCAGGCCAGCAGGGCGCAGGGGATGCGGGCATCTGGCCTTCAACCCACTGCAGGCTCCGCAAGGCCGCTCCCCTGTGCGGTGCGAGAGGTCAAGGGCCGGGACACATGAGGGAGGTGAGGGACACTGACGAGGTGGTGCAGAAATGGGGGCCTCAGCAAGGAGTGGCCCAGCCTGCGGGGGGCGGGAGTGGGGCTGCGCCCTGGGAGGCTGAAGGTGTGACCGCACTGCTGACCGTGACCTTCCCTGGGCCATCAGCACTCATGTCCAAAAGCCCCCAAAATGTATTTGCAACCCCCCTGGGGCAGTGATCCACTTCCTCTCTCCTGGGGACGTCATAACTGGGGCGTCACCAAAGCCACAGCGTGAGCCCCTTCCTCCCAATATGGGTTTCAACTTCAGTGCCAATCAGATGGGCCACCCGCCCATAGTGACCCGGTCATCCCCACCAATAGAAAGAAAGAAGAAAGAAGAAAGAGACCCAGTCATAACACGACTAGGGAGACCCCGACCTGTGGCTGGAAACTGAGCCACAGAGAGCACGCCCTGACGCCAGCTGCGCTGAAAGGCATGAAATCTGCACGGAACAGCTGTGGGAAGGGAGACGCGGACACACGGCCGGGACACGTGCCCTCTGCTCTCTGCTGCCTGGGGACTCCGCCTCAGTAAGTCAGACCGGACAGAGGATAGAAGACAGGCCAGAGGCTCCGACCAGACCGTGCAGGGAAAGAGCGTCCTGTCCCAGCACCCCCCCCCCCACTCCGCACCTGTAATTGATATTTCTCCGGGAGTTGATGTCCCAGCTCTGGATGGCCGCCCACATGCGCTCCTCCACCTCCTCCCGCTGGGGTTCGCAGATGCCCCAGGCCTCGGGCCCATCAAACATGATGTGGGACAGGACGCCGCAGGCATTGTAGGAAACCTCAATCCCATCGGCCTTGCTCTCCAGCAGATTGCTGCCAAGAAGGGAGAGAAATGGAGTCCAATTCCCCCCAAGTCCCTCTTCAGATACCAGCTGCTGGAGCCCAACTTACAAACCACCTGCCAGAGGAACTACTGATTTTTTTGTCACTTATTGTCCATACCCAGAGGACTTGTAAAAGGGATCTGAGGGCGCTAATGTAAGGTTAGCCACTAGAGGACCATTTTTGGAGAGCTGAAAGAATAAGAAACCATACTATAGAGCAGTGATGGCGAACCTATGACACGCGTGTCAGAGGTGACACGTGAACTCATTTTTTTGGTTGATTTTTCTTTGTTAAATGGCATTTAAATATATAAAATAAATATCAAAAATATAAGTCTTTGTTTTACTATGGTTGCAAACATCAAAAAATTTCTATATGTGACACGGCACCAGAGTTAAGTTAGGGTTTTTCAAAATGCTGACATGCCGAGCTCAAAAGGTTCGCCATCACTGCTATAGAGAGAAGGTAATATTTATAACAAAAACCTAGGCTAAGAGCAATTGCTGCTACTAAGCACAGACTAGAACTCTGAGCATCCTGGCAGCCAAGGCAAAAAGGCAAAGGAGAGAAGCACCAACCTGAAGACACTGATGAACTGGGAAGTCATTAGCTGGGGCCGCAGCTCCCTCACCTCTGCCACATTTCCCAAGAGCCCCAGCATGTTCCGATGTAGTTCCTGCTTCTCGGGGAATTCCTGGCCAAATGAGAGCCGTTGGGCCACATCAATTAGTACTTAATTAGTCTGGCATGCTTAACCTAGACGCTTTGTGAGCGTCTGTCTGGCCATTCCGATACACAAAGAGGGGGTGCAATATGCTGCCCTCCTGCCTTCTAGTACTCCCAGGCAGTGCTGGGTACACACAATGAGGGATTAAAATGGTGGGGGCTCCTTGCCACAAAAATCAAAGGCTGAGTGGGGATGGGACCTAAAATTGTGAATGAGACAAACATGGTTCTGTTTATCAAAGCTCAAAATACCAGTTTAGTCTGGTCAGTGTCGCTCAATGGTTAGAGCGTTGGCCTGCGCACCGAAGGGTCTCTGATTCGATTCCCAGTCAAGGGCACGTACCTGGGTTGCAGTTTACTCCCCACCCCTTGTTGGGGCACGTGCAGGAGGCAACCAGTTGATGTGTCTCTCTCATATTGTTTTTCTCTCTCCCCCTTCCTTCCACTCTCTCTGAAAAATAATGGACAAAAATATCCTCATGTGAGAATTAACAAAAACTAAAAACTAAAAAATACTAGTTGAATGGAATCCCTTAGAAACTAGAGTAAGAAAACAAAGGATGTGTTTCAGGATGAACAGACCATCCTACTGGACAGAACTCTGTCCAGCTGATGTCCCGATGGGCCCCGGCCAGACGGGGCGGCCTGAGGAGGCGCTGTGGAGGGCGGGCGGTTTCCCGTGGAGGGAGGGCTGTAACGGGGGCCCAGCCAGGCCGCTGGGTCAGGGAAGGCCTCTGGAGCTTCTGTTTGCAGCAAACCCTGGGCTGGTGGGCCTGTGAGTGGCCCCTGCTGGCCTCCGGTGGGAACCCCGGGGGCGGGGGCCTGGGGACCGGAGTGGCACGTGGAGGGTCCGGAGGCTGCGGCGGGGACACTACCTTCAGGCAGTCCAGGAAGAGCTTCATGCCGCTGTAGTTGAGGAACATCTCGCAGTTGTCGGGCGTCTCGTCCGTGATGTTCCAGAGCGCGCTCCAGGAGAACTCCATGACCTGGTCACACTGCGGCGGGAGAGGGGGGCTCAGCACAGCTCACCGGGACGGGCGGCTCCTGGCACCCAGGGAGGGCTCCCCTGACAAAACATGGGCACCCCCGGGGCAAACCAGTCCCATGAGGGGCTCCAGGAAGACTCCACTTACTATCTTGTCTAGCAGCTTCTTCTGAATGAGCTTCAGCATGGTCTGTGGGCAGAGAAGAGAATTGCAGGGGCCAGGACTTAAGCGCTCCCGTGTCCCCCAGCCACCCCCAGGGGCGACAGCACTTCTATTCCTGGCCAATACACCTGACAAGACCAAACCTGCCCACCTGCTGGGAGGCTGTGGGAAGAAGTGCAACCCACAGACTTGGTACTTGGCATCAGGAGGCCTGGGTGCTCGTCCTGGCTCAACCCTGACTCCCTGAGTGGCTTTGGGCACGGCCCTCCCCCTCTGGGGAATTCAGCCTCCCCGGTGAGAATATGAGAAGAGACTGGATGTTCCTTCCCCCTTCTTCCCTTCCTTTCTTCAGCAAGTAGCTGTTCTCTCCCTACTGTGCACTGGGCCTTATGCTAGAAAGTGCTGGGACGTAATGGTGGGAGGAGCGAGCATGGCGTTTCCCCACCGAGCTCACTTGCAGTTGGGAAGACACATCAAGGCACCTGGTCTGAGGAGGCAGGAGTGACTTGTACAGTGTGTTCAAGAGCGGGGCTAAGGGGGGGATGACAGGATGTTCTAGGTGGAGGACAGCTATGGGGGTCGTAAGCAACATGCACTGATAGGAAAAACTTCCTTTGGTCTAGCCTGATTCATGCGGCAGTGGGGCTACGGATGAGGAGGGAGGGAGGTGGGGACGCCCGCCGGCACGCACCACCACGAAGCCCATCTTGCCCACGGCCTCCTTGTGGTCATTGTCCACCTGGCAGACCAGGGCGTTGCACAGGTGCACAGCGATGCGCTGGATCGACTCGTCCTGCCGAGTGGGGTTGAGGATGCTGAGCAGGAGCTCGTTGACCCGGCGGTACTGGAATTCCAGCTCCTCGGGGATGCTGAAGTTGCAGAGGGTCAGGCAGCAGTTCCGCTGGACCTGGGCCGGGCAGAGACAAGGGGCACAGAGTCAGGGGCAGACTCTCGAGCTGAACTGGGGGGCTCTCTCGAGGTGAGGGATCATCCAGAGCTGTGGTGGTCCAGGAAGGCTTTCTGAGGAGACTACAAGGCTTCCTTAAAACACATTTTTAAAAATTGTGAAATATAATATTCATAGAGAAGCGTGTATAAAATAACAAATGTAGTTTTACAAATAATTATAAAGCAGACAAGCATTTCAACAACAATGTAGCCACCACCTGGGTCAAGAAATAGAACCCTGCCAGCACCCAGAAGCCCCCATGTCCCTTTCTGATCATAAGTTCCTCTCCCCACTACAGATGCCCACAACCCCTGCTTTTTTATTTGAAAGACTAGAGGCCTGATGCACAAAATTCGTGCAAGGGGCTCAGCTCTCCAGCCGTGGCTTCATCCGGAAGGTCGTTCAGCTGTCCGGTCTAATTAGCATATTACACTTTTATTAGTATAGATTTTCTAGCATCTTGATTCTTTTAGTTCAACCACAGGTTTGCAAGATCAAGCATGTTGTTTTAAGTAGCTGAAATGCATTCCTTTTTCGTTGCAGTATAGTATTCCAATGTACTCATCCACTCCACTGCTGGTGGACTTCAATGTTTTGACTACTTCAAACATATCTTGTACATGCATCCCGGTGTCCATGCACATGGGCCCCACTAGGGCACACACGTGTGGGGTGACGCTTCTGGGTCACAAGGTGTGGGTGTCTTCAACTTTACCGGGTGACACCAGACTGTTTTCCAAGTGGCTGTACCAGTTTACACTCCCACCAGCAGTTAGGAGAGCTCTGGAGGCTCCACATCCTCAATTTCTCTGCGTTGTCTGCAGGCTTTATTTATAGTGGTCTCAGCGCATTTTCTTTGTGATTTAATTTCCTTAATTTTTTCTCATTAGATACTGGAAGTTCATCATACTTTATTAATTATGTAAATGAAAAGATATCACCCGTGGTTAACTCTTGGTCTCCCCCGCACAATATACATATATATTTTAATTTGAGAAAAAATTTATTTTGTTATAAAAGCAATACTTACTGAAAAAAGTTCAAATAATACTATCTGAGCAGTTAGTCCCCCACTTCATTTCCCAGAGTTATTACTGTTAAAGTGGGGTGCACAGGCCTTCCTCTTTCTGCCATGTGGCCTGTGGGGAACAGGAGTTGTAAAGCAAAGTGGGGTGCACAGGCCTTCCTCTTTCTGCCATGTGGGAGCCTGGGGGCCTGTGGGGAACAGGAGTTGTAAAGCGACACCTGTGTCTGGCAGGCTGTGGTCCAAGGCCATTCTTGCTGGCTATTTGTGGGGTCTCTGGACCAAGAGGGAGCACACAGTTCTTAAAATTGAAGATGTTTAGCCCAGCCGGTGGCTCAGTGGTTGAGCATCAACCTATGAACCAGGAGGTCACAGTTTGATTACCAGTCAGGACACATGCCCAGGTTGCAGGCTTGATCTCAGTGTGGGGTGTGCAGGGGGCAGCTGATCAATGATTCTCTCTCATCACTGATGTTTCTATCTCTCTCTCTCCCTTCCTCTCTGAAATCAATAAAAATATATTAAGAAAAAAAAGTTTGGTGTACATTCTAGATTTTTTTCTATATAAATACAAATATATATTTGGGGGAGAGAAGACATTATAGCCCTAACTGGTTTTGCTCAGTGGTTAGAGCATCAGCCTGCAGACTGAAGGGTCCCAGGTTCGATTCCGGTCAAGGGCATGTACCTTGGTTGCAGGCACATCCCCAGTAGGTGTGCAGGAGGCAGCTAATTGATGTTTCTCCCTCATCGATGTTTCTAACTCTCTATCCCTCTCCCTTCCTCTCTGTAAAAAATCAATAAAATATATTTAAAAAAGAAAAGGAAAAAAAAAGAATGATTTAAAAAAAAAGAGAAGAAAATACATTATACATATTGGTCCCAAACTTCTCCTCACTTATCAATATGCAGGGGGCACCTTCCATGTTAGGATGTGCAGATTTATCATAATATCCCACTGCGGGGGGGGTCGTGCGTTAACTTTTCCAGACCCCTAATACTAAAACATTTTAGTTTCCACTGACCTCTACTTAATCAAAAAGTGTGGATATAGGCTCTGGCTGCTAACTCAGTTGGTCACAGCATCATCCTGATACACCAAGGTTGTGGGTTTGATCCCTGGTCAGGGCACATACAAGAAGCAGCCAATGAATGCATAAATAGGTGGAAAAACAAATTGATGTTTCTCTCTCTCTCAAAAAAAAAAAAAAAAGGTGGATGTATGCATATCCTTCCCTCTAAGACTTCCAACTGTGGGACACCTAGGCCAACAGAGAGGTGCACGTTTAGTCTGGGCAGGTGCTGACAGCTGCCCTCTAAAGAGCTGCTCCACTCAGCTCACCTGGGAAGTGCGCGAGTGCCCGTCCCCTCACCCTTGTCAATGTCGGGTTCCATCAACATTGAGGTGAAATGTGGTACCTTGTTATTTTAATTTCCATTTCTTTGATAGAGTTTATTCATTCATTTGAGAGTCTTCAAGTAGCAATATTTTTCATTAAAAAAAGATGCCCCTTTTACTTGATTATAAAATTGGTCTCTATGTGGAAACAACAGTTGCCCTGGAGTTGGAGGCTTTGGGAAAGCGGGCCTTCCCACCCCTGCAGGGGCCGCATCCCACCACAGCCTTTCTGGAGGGCAATTCGAGAACCCAATGCTTTCAAAACGCACATCCCCACGGCCCCACAATTCCACTTCTGGACACGCAGCACATGGGGAGTCAGCTAAGCAGAGTCAGCACAGCCTCACTGAAGTAGCAATAACCCAGCAACCTCAATGTTCCGCCGCGGGGCTGAGTCCACCACCGCAGCCCAGGCCCTCAGGGGCGCCCCCTCTGGTCCCTCGGGGGACGGGCTGGCCACTGCCTCTGAGTGGTCAGGCAGCACCATGGCAGCCTCTCCTTGGCTGAGGACGCTGACACCAGGCCGACAACGATTGTGAAAACCCACCGTTAGATCCAGCTGTCTGGGGAGGAGAGCTGGGGTTATGAACAACTTTGACTTTCTAGTTACTACACTTTCTTTTTACTTGAATTTGTTTTCTAAGCATTCAGTGTCTTGCTTTTATAATCAGAAAACAAACATTATTTTTAAAATTTTGTTGGTATGGGAGAGGTCCACATCCACGAGACTGCTGAAACAGAAACCACGGGCGTTACACAGCGTCATGCAGAGCGAGCGCCTTTACTAGATAAAGACCCACAGACTGAAACCCAGAGCGGCGGCGGCAGTGCGAACGGGGCTAGCTCTGGGCGGTGGGTTTTTCTATCTATAATTACAACTTTTATACAATAAGAATCTTTATTACTTTTATAAGAAAAGCAGTTACTGAAAAAATAGCCCACCGCAGAATGTTACTGGGCAGAGGGTGGAGGAATCAGTATGAGCAGAGGCCCAGGGGCAGGAGAGCAGGGCCCTGGGGAGAGGGTGGCAGTGGCGTGGGGTGGGTTAGTGGGCCTTGGATGCCAGGTCCCAGAGTCTGGGGGTGATGCTGTAGGGAAGGGTTGCTGCTGTAGGGACGGGGTGTGGGGACAAGGGCAGTGCAGAGCCAGGCGAGAAAGGGTGGGAGCAAGCATGGCATCTGAGGGATCTACGAGCAGGCTGGGAGGCTGGGCCACAGGGGGAGCAGGGAAGGGGGCGGGGTAGAGCATGCAGGACCGCGGCAGGGGGCTCACCGTCACCTCCTGGTAGGATTCCATGCCATTGAGCACCACCTGGATGACCTGGCGGCGCAGCTTGACGCTCTGCTCGGAGCGGTACTCGGAGTTGGTCAGGTAGAAGAGGGCGGCGCTGCCCGTCACTTGGATATTCTTGTCATACTTGTGGCACTTGAGGGCTGTGATGACCAGCTACATGGAAGACAGGGTATGGGGCCCAGGTTGGCAAGTCCGGTGGACGTTGTGCAGGGACAGGCCTAGGGCTCTTCGAGGGGGCTCGCACAGGTCCAAGGTTGGGGAGCAGAAGGCAGGGCCGGGCCATGGCCCTGGGACAAGGCCAGTGCTGGGGCAGGTGAGGCACTGTGGGGTGGGCTGGGGGTAGGACTGCCGGTGTCCTGGGGATGAGGTGACGTAGAGGAGGGACAGGGGCCCTGGCACATGGCTCGGCCAAGGCCAGGGTCCTCCAGGTGGGGACGGTGGGAGCCCGAGGCCCCACTGCTTCTGGGGCGGGGCTGACCTTCAGAGCCCGCAGGAGCTGGTTGCAACGCTCGATGCGCGCGATGTCAAAAAGCAAGTTGATGGCCCGGGAGGTGATCTCGGGCCTGTGCTCCGTGTAGGCCTCGATGGCGTTCAGCACCTGCTCCTCGTTCTTGTCGCCACTCACCTGGGGAGGAAGCACGCTCAGGCCGCTGGGAAAAGGTCACGTGGGGGAGCCTCCGATATTGGCTCCGCCTCCAGCCCGGGGCAGACATGGTGGGCGGCCCTGGGACAAGGCCAGTGCTGGGGCAGGTGAGGCACTGTGGGGTGGGCTGGGGGTAGGACTGCCGGTGTCCTGGGGATGAGGTGACGTAGAGGAGGGACAGGGGCCCTGGCACATGGCTCGGCCAAGGCCAGGGTCCTCCAGGTGGGGACGGTGGGAGCCCGAGGCCCCACTGCTTCTGGGGCGGGGCTGACCTTCAGAGCCCGCAGGAGCTGGTTGCAACGCTCGATGCGTGCGATGTCAAAAAGCAAGTTGATGGCCCGGGAGGTGATCTCGGGCCTGTGCTCCGTGTAGGCCTCGATGGCGTTCAGCACCTGCTCCTCGTTCTTGTCACCACTCACCTGGGGAGGAAGCATGCTCAGGCCGCTGGGAAAAGGTCACATGGGGGAGCCTCCGATATTGGCTCCGCCTCCAGCCCGGGGCAGACATGGTGGGCCCCCCAGCCCACCCCTCCCTTCTTCCAGGGCTCCCTGCTCCTCCCTCCCCCACTCCACACCTTGTAAGCCGGAATGTGCGTGAGGCGGCACAGGGAGGTCTCGAAGAGCCCCAGGAACTGCAGCGGCCTCTTCAGAGCCCGGAAAGGCATGATGCTGCTCTTGGAGGGCTCGGTGCTGGGGAAGAGGTGCTGGGGTCAGTGGCCCGAGGCTGGGGCTGCCCCAGGTTCAGCAGGGAGGTGGGCTGCTCCCTGGGGGGCTTGGGGATTTACTAGGGACCCTCTTCTAGACCCTCCAGCTCAGCTTTTTCTTTTTAAGGGCAGGGGACATAGACCCTGCCTCCTGATGGAAGAAGAGCATGTGGGATGGGAGGTGTGGCTGTAGTCACCTTTGGAAAACACTACCTGCCATTCTAGTGAGGACGTGTCACCTTTAGGTTCCACCAACAATCATGAAGGGACCGGCCCAACAAGCAAACCCGCTAAAGTGTGGTTGGGGACAGAGAAGGCCTGTGGCCAATTACCGCTGGGTGGGTTTGAATCCGATCTCTCGACCCACCAACCCAGGAACCAGCCTCTCTGCTGCAGCACCTACCACATGGCCGTACCGCCAGCCTCGCCTGAACACCGCCGCCCTGTCTCTGGCCAGTCTGAGCGGACAATTTCCCAGTCACTCCTGGCGCTTGCACCTTCTAGCCTTCGCACGTGCCCTTCCCTCTGCTAGGACACCCTGCCTCTGAACTCAGAATGAACTTTCAAACAGCTTGGATGCCATTCCTCCTCGTCCCTCTCTCCTGGTCCTCAGGGTAGCCCGGGTCTCCCTTACCAGTCCTGATAATGGCTTGTCACACAGACTGGAGAGGGCAGGGCCTCATTCGCTCCTTTATCTCCAGCACCCAGAACAGCACTGGCAGAGGGCGTTTGGGAAATGCTTGTTGAGTGGTACTGCGGCCACCGTGGCGGTGGGCCCACCTGGTCTGCCCTGCCTCCTCGTCCATCTTGGAGATGCTGCAGTTCTCCAGGATCATGTGCCCAGAGATGTCCAGGGACATGAGGTTCCCCAGCTTCTGCACAAAGAGGCTCAGCACCTTGCGAGTCAGCTTGAACTTGTAGTAGCTGGAGAGGCGGTCTCGGGAGATGTCCAAGTGTCTGGAGATTGGGGGGAGGAGCACAGATCAGGAGCTGGACACAGGTTGAGACTGTCTCGTAGACCCTGCTGCTTCAGTCCACGGCAGGGCAGGGCCCCTCCCTACCACACTGCTGCAGGGCATTCTGGGAAAAATCCTACTGGGACCCGGGGGCCCCAAACAACCCTGATCCAGCTGCCACCTGGGGTTAAAGGAAGGGGACGTCTCTTCTATGCCCACCTTCTGCCTGGCCAGGGCTCATGACCCTTCTGGGACTGACAACACGAACCTCCCCCACCCGCACCCCCACCCCAGCGAGCTGTGGGCGGGCTGCTCACCGCAGCTTATGCAGCTGGACGATGACACGAATGTGGTCGTCCGACAGGTCCATGTTGTAGAGCACAAGGGACACCAGGCTATCTTTCCACTGGGTCAGGAAGGCCGCGTCGCTGGTCTGAATGCCTGAGAGGTCCAAGGCAGCCAGCGCACTGAGCGGCCGCAGCAGGGACTCCACGGGGACCCCATCAATCATGCGGCCCAAGTTGAGGAAGCGAAGGCGGCTAAAGCCCTCGAAGGTGAAGTCCTTAACCAGCACCTGGCAGGTGGGGTTGACGAGGCACTCGTCCTCACAGCCCCCTGGGTTCTCCTCCTCATAGAAAATGTTGGCGCAGCCGAAGAGGCTCAAGGACACCAGGGTGTGGCTAAAGCTCCGCAGTGTCTGCAGGCTCTTGGCCGACAGCTTCTCGCAGTTGGTCAGGTTCAGCTCCACCAGGTCCTGGGAGGAGGGACAGCTCCGTCATCACCCTGCCCAGCCCCTGCCCTAGGCTGGCCCTGGGCTAAGGGGGGCCGTGGAGGGGTCTGTCCAGTGGGGAAGAGCGCTGGACGGGCCTTGGGATGCTTGTCCTGGAGGTGATCGGCCCTGCCCGACTCACTGTTTGACTGTCTCGGGCCGCCTCCCATGCCCATCTCGTGCCCGGCAAGGCAGGTCTTACCTGCTTGCGAATGGCTTCCAAGTCCTGGTCTTGCACCAGGTCCTCGCGGAGGTGGATGCGGGTGAGGCGGGTGCTACGAGGATCTGAGAAGAGGCTGAAGAAGCTCTCGTGTGGCTCAAAGTTGCAGGCAGCGTTGACCAGTTCCACGTACCTGGGAGGGAGAAGCCTGGCTCAGGGGAGGGGCATTGTCCCCTGCAAGGCCCAGCGTAAGCCCTCTCCTCCCTGAGGCCTTCTCTGATCACCCCAGCAGCAACCTCTGTCTCCTCCTCCTCCTCCTCCTCTTCTTCATAGTATCTGGTTGGGTCCTGACTACCCTATAGGTGAGATACCCTGATCTGTGCCCCTGCCCCCTCCAGGAACCAGGAGTCCAAAGGTAGACTTCCTGGTGATGAAGGGGCCTCTTATCAATAGAAAATCCCAAGCTCTTCCCCCAAAACCATAGACACTTCTAGAGCAAACATACTGTCCACACACCTCTTCTCTAAGCCAGCTTCTGGCTCCCTGACCAGCCCCTCCCAGGACCCTTTCCCACAGGAATTAAGTCTAGGGGTATGGAGTTCCCAGGTGGGTACAGGCAAGCCCTCAGTAAACCCTGCGAGATACCAGCTTATGCGAGAATCCTGGTCTTGGTGGGAAAGGCTTTGTAGTCAAACACTCTGGAATCTAAATCCTGCTTGGCTAGTCACTACCTGGACAACGTCACTCAAGTAACTGAACTTCTCCGGGCTTTGGTTTCTTCCTCTGTGAAATGGCCATAACTCTGGTCTACAAAGTGATCCACCCAGAGCTGCCTGACCCACATTAAGTGCTCAGAACATTACTACAAGTTGGGTTCTGTCCTCAGCTCACACACAGGTTCCCACTTTATATGCAACTGTCTGGTCTAGCAGGTTCCCTTCTGGGCATCTCGACATCCCAGAGGTCAGTGAACACATGCCATGCTTCTAGGAGCCTCCACTAGCGGGGAGTCCTCTGGAGGGGCCACGTCAAGGTTTTCTGAACGATTCGATCCCTGGTCATGGATCCATTTGGGCACTGATGTGTAAACCTAATGTTCACACACAGTCACGTGTTCACAGGCTCCGGTGTGCACACACACAGGACAGCAAACAACTTCATTTATGTGCCGGCTTCTGTACCCCCTCATAGGTGTAATGCACACCTACAGTTTCACACTCAGACATTCCCTGTGCTGCAGAAGCCCATGTGTACACTGACCCATTCCTTCACGTGCACACTCCTTCATACACCTACCCCCCCACACACACACACATAACTTTACAGTCAGAGGTACACCAGTATTCTATACCCATGGACACCCTTGTGCATGCACACACACCCTCACACTCACACATCCATGGTCACACTACCACATGGTGCACACACACTGGTCCTAATCTCTCCACACATGCTCATCTAAAGACTTGTGCCCCTGCCCCAGCTCCAGGCCTGCTCACTCGTTGACGAGCCGGTCACAGATCTCGCTGGGCAGGAAGATGTCTGGATGCAGCCTCGGAGACCCCTTATCCAGTAGGTAGCCCAAGGTGCCGTCCAGGTTGCGCAGGCAGAAGTCGGTGCAGAGGGCCGTCAGGGACTCGGGAGTGTCCGACGCCATGCTGGGGGCAGGAAGGTGGGCCACTCCAGGACAGGGGCCTCCAGGGACAACAGTCACTCCTCAACACTCACAGGGTCATTGGCAGAGCCACAGCCTAGAGAATGGGAAAGAAGCTACGTGAGCCCGAGGGCCAGAACCACCAGCTGTCCTAGGTCCACTCCTGAGTAGGGAAACTGAGGCTCCAGATGCCACACTCACATTGGCAGCTTAGCGGACCAGGCCCCAAGATTCCCGACCTCCTCTTTGTCCCCTCTGCTGATTTGTATGATTTGGCCTGCAAAGAGCAGGGGGCCTTGTCCAAGTGTTTCTTTTTTTCTTTTTTAATATATTTTATTGATTTTTTTTTTTTTTTTACAGAGAGGAAGGGAGAGGGATAGAGAGCTAGAAACATCGATAAGAGAGACACATCGATCAGCTGCCTCCTGCACACCCCCCACTGGAGATGTGCCCGCAACCAAGGTACATGCCCTCAACCGGAATCGACCCTGGGTCCTTTCAGTCCCCGGGCCGACGCTCTATCCACTGAGCCAAACCGGTCAGGGCTCCAAGTGTTTCTATGCCTTCACAAATGTCTGTGGAAAGACCTGTGTGTTGGGAACCCAGTGCTTGGGTGTGGATCACAGGGGCTTTCTTTTTGGTTAATCCTCACCAGAGGATATTTTTTCCATTGCTTTTCAGAGAGTGGAAGGGAGGGAGGGAGGGGGAGAGAGAGAAAAAACATCAATTCTTAGCTCCACCCATTTATGCATTCATTGGTTGATTCTTATAAGTGCCCTGACCAGGGATTGAACCAGCAACGTTGGCACATGGGGATGATGCTCCAACCAATTGAGCTACCTGGCCAGGGCCCCTGCTGTGTAATCTAACTTGTATCTAGCTGTCACTGTTTGAACACTTAGTATGTGCCAGGGCTTTATAGACATGTTATCACTGAATCTCAATCTATATGATGAAGAATCAGGCTCCTCCTAATTGAAATGAAAATATGCGTCCACATCAAAAGCTGTACGTTAAAATTCATAGTGGTATTATTCGTAATAGCCCCAAATGGAAACAACACAGTGTCTGTCCACTAATGAGTGGACAAACAAAAATGGTCTATCCATACAATGGACTATAATTCAGCCGTAAAAGGAATGAAGTACAGATACATACAACACTGGGCCTTGAAAACATTATACTGGTGGGCTTGCTGTAAGAGCCCAGTTTCCAGTCTCAGCCCTGCTGCTTAAGAACAGGGGAACTTGGGCAAGTGTCTTCACCTCTCTGTGCCTCAGTTTCTATTCCAAGTAGGGAGCGCTTTGTGAAGATAACACGGAATGACACAGAAATGGCTGAGCATAGTTCCCGGCACATAGTAATTACTCAATAAAAAGCCAGTATGATCAGCATCATAATCATCATCACCTTCTCCTATCTCACCAGCCCTGGTCCCCAAGTAGAGCAGTCCATTCCTGTCCAGCTCCAGGTCTGCGCTGCCAACTCCTGAGTCTCCTGCCATAGGCCCTGTACCAGCTGTCCCACTGGCTATGGGACACCCTTGAGGGAAGGCACAACAAACAGGCTGCCTGGGCCCTGGGCATGGCCTTCCTTTGCCTTCAGATCTGCAAGAGCCCAGCAGTCTCTCTTGCCTGGGCCACTGGAGGGCACACTGCTGGCTGGGAGACAGTCCCAGCTGGAGACCTATGAGTCCCATCTCTTTGAGCGTCACTCAAGGCCTCCAGAGTTAGAACCAGCTTTCTGGTCAACCCCGTGCCCACAGACCCCCACTTAACTGGCCTGGCCTCCTCCATTGCACTGACGATAGGCCATAAGGGTCACCTTCAGACCTTTGCTCAGTCGGTTTGCTTTCAACGGAGACCATCCAAATTCAACTAACTATTCCACTTTCTAACAAATACTGCTCCCACCCCCAAATACACATCCACGTCCCTCCTGCAGGAAGTGGCACGGACCACTCCGGTCCACCACCTTTAACCTCTCCTCCTTGCTTAGCTGATGCCTAAGCACCCTCAGGTCTTAATGTCAACACCATCTCCTCTAGGAAGCCTCCCCTGGCTGCCAAGTGTAGCTGCTGTGGCCCCAAAGGCCATCCCATAATAGTCCACGCTTTGCACTGATGCTGGGCTAACTACCTGGCTTCCTTGCCAGGCGGCCAGCTGCACGAGGCGGGAACCAGGCTGTCTTGCCTGGCATTCATTCCCGGGCTTAGCCCGGGTCCTTTGCTTGTTCACTCGGTAACTCTCTAGTGAGCACCGTGCATCCGATGGTGAACGAAACCAGACAAGGGCTTTCTCCTGGTGAAGCACAGTGGCTCCGAAAGGGGACAGCCAGCCACCCAGGAGGCACCCAGACCCGCCCCCCATAACTGGGAACAGTGTTCTGAAGGGGAGGGAGGTACCGGGGCTCCCTGTGTCGATGCCAGGGACCTGCCTTGGAGGTGGCATTGCAGCTGCAACCCAATGAGTCACAGTTAACTCTGGTGGCGGGCAGAGAAGGGAAAGGCGTTCCAGAAAGAAGGCCAACCTGTGCACAGGCTGAAGGGACAGACGGTGTGGGGCGCGGGCACCACAGCCCAACTCCACGACGATGTGCTGGACAAGAAGGGCTGAACACCACGGGGCCTGACAAACAGGAGGGTGTCGGCAGATGCCTGCGGGAGGGACGAGGGCTCGCAGGCTGTGCCACACGTGGGAGCCCCGAGGCAAGACCTGCTCTCGTATCCTCCCTGCCCACCTGCCCAGGACAGTGCTAGGCACCCAGTGGCCACCGAGGAACCTCGTGACTGTAACCGAGAGCTGCCTTTTCTGCAGGTCCACACCCAGTCACCCAGGGAGCTGCTCTGCCCTAACTCTGCTCCTCAGGAGGAAGAGGCACCACCCTGTTAGCCGCCAAAGCCACCAAAAGACAAACCAGGCAAAGGGCACCATTTGCTAACTGCCTTGGGCAGCGCCGACCTTGCTGCTTGGGGCTGGCTGAGCCGGAGGGGGAAGGAACCGTCCTCAAGTTGGCACCGAGGCTGAGAGCCTGGGGGCTGGAGTGCCCGGCCACTTGTGGGCATCCAGCTGCAGGCCTGGCACCCACAGAGGCAGCCACCTCCGCTGCCCAGCTCCTCGCTCCTCAGCACCGCCATCGGGGGTTCCGGCACCTGGGGCAGAGGGAACTCTGATGGCCACAGAGCAGCACCTGGTGAGAACTCTGCCATCCCCGCTCCTGCCGGTTCTCTAAAACTGGATCCTTCATGAGCTGTGACATCCTCCGGGAGAGATAAAACTGGATCCTTCATGAGCTGTGACATCCTCCGGGGGAGGGAGGGGGCACAGCAGGGAGAGGAGGAGAGAAGAGCAGCAGCCGCCACCCCCACGTCGGTGACTTTCAGACGTGGCGCTGCGCTGATTCCACACGGCCTCCGATTTAACCAACAAAACAGCATTCCCTCGGACACTGTGGCTAATTCATCATCTGTGTAACCAGTTGTCTAACGACCCCTCCCCTGGCCCCACGCTCCTGGATCCACAGGGTCCGGCCCGTGCCTGGCACCAACAGAATAAAGGTTTGCTTTGCCAGAGTTACCATTTTCTGATGAAGACACCGAGGCTTGCCTGAAGTGACTGGCAAGAATGGGATGCAACCCTAAACCAAGCCGGTGCTTCTCACCAAACCATTCAGTCTCCCATCCACCAACCGGAGGGGAGAGAAAGTGAGGTCCAGAGGCGGGAGCGTGGGACCCCACCAGCGCTGACACCCAGCCGACAGGATCTGGGGGGCAGGAAGCTCTGAGCCTGGGAGCAGCGCCCACCTGTGAAATATTCACCCAGGAGCGGGGGGGAAGGGACCCCAAACAAATGCCCTAGAGGCTGGAAGCTTTCCAGGAGGGAAGGGATCACAGGGAAGATTGGGGGTAGCAGGCTGCTGTGAGGGGAGTCAGGGCAAGTGCCAGGGGGCTCTGGGGAGCAGGGGTGCAGGTGACGGTCAGAGGGCTGACCTGCGGAGTCGAAGTCTGTAGGGGGGTCGTGTTAGGGAGATACGGAAATGGAGTGGAAGAGGAAAGTCATCACCGCTCGCTGGTGCTACCCAGGGCAGAGGGGCCTCTAACAAGACACCCTCACACCCATACTGACCACCATACTCCAAGAACTCTGTGGGTTCACCACCACACGAGGCAGCTGCGGCTGAGTGGTGAAGTCATTTGCCACGGCCTATGGAGATGTACAGACCAATATGTATACACACACTCATTAGCTCCAGACCCAGTGCTCTGAGCTTCCCATGCATCTTCTCATTGCAGCCACACATAACCGGAGGGATGACTATATTATAATTTTGTTTTCCAAATGAAAAAACTGTGGTTCAAAGAAGTACAATGACTTGCCTAAGGTCCCCCAGTAGGTGCCTGGCTCTCTCTACCATTATGCTATGGGCACGAACGGGTTCTCCCACCCTCAGCTCTCCCTTCTGTGGCGTGAGCCTTCACTGCCTCCTTACAACTCTGAGCATCCCTGGGCATTGAGTACAGATGGTCGGACATCGCTGGGAACCATCCTGTGGACATCTATTGTTTGTTTGCCAAGGACTGGAAGCTTCCTGAGGCAGGGACCCTGTGTGATCCTTGAGATCTCCATGACAACAGTGAGGGGGAGGAGACATAGTTCCACATGGTGCCCAGGCAATATTTACACCCTCAATCTTCATCAGGGTCCTTACCTGCTTGGTGTGTTGCAAATGTACCTACCTCATGCGGTTGGTGAGGACATGGCATGAAATGATAGGAAGAAGGTGGCAAATGCCGGGCTGGTGTGGCTCAGTGGTTGAGCATCAACCCATGAACCAAGAGGTCACTGGTTCGATTCCCGGTCAAGGCACATGCCCAGATTGCGAACGTGATCCTCAGTGGGGGGGTACAGGAGGCACCCAATTGATGTTTCTCTCTCTCTCCCTCTCCCTTCCTCTCTATCTAAAAGCAATAAAAACATATTTTTTAAAAAGGTTTTTTAAAGTAGGTAGTAACCAATCATTATGGAGCAATTTCCAAAGAATGATGTTTGGAGAGACCCTTCTGCTCATTTTTGAAGCTGGAAAATCTGCTCATTTCTGAAGCTTCATGATCCAAAAATAGATGACCGAGGGGGAGACTCTGAACTTGCATTTCAGGAATCAAGAACAGCTCAGTTACTGAAGCTGCAGAATCTTGGTGATGCTAACAAGAATAGCCCTTTACCTTTGTAGAGGGCTTTAAAGTGCAACACATTCTTTCAGAACCTCGTTTCATTTCACCTCCCGGTAGCCTTCAGAATTAGAGTCCAGACAGGAAAACTGAGGTCCAGACAGGATGTAAGTGCCCAAGCTCACACAGCAGGCCCGAAGCACAGCAGGCGCTTGAACCCTGACCTAGATCGCTAGTCCAACGACCCAGCTCCAACATGCTGGCTTTCAGCATCTACGTGCTCTGACTTTTCATTTTCAAGTCCTCTCCCCCAAACGCCCCACTCCGCCTATCAGACTCAGGTCTAGACTTGTGGGGTGGGAAGGAGATCAACCTGCAAAATCTCAGCCTCTGCTGGGCATATCTGGGATGGACAATCTCCATCATCAGATCAGCCACACACACTCTGACCATACATCTAAGGCCAATGTATACTGCCCTCACCAACCTGTCTTCATATTTATTTCAACACCATATTTTGCCTGTTTTATGTAGCGGAATGGGGTCTTGCTAAGCTCTTTTTAAAAAGCCCCCATCACCTCCCACTGTCATCAAAAAGCCAGGACCAAGCCCTAGCTGGCTTGGCTCAGTGGATGGCGCATCAGCCTGCGGACTGAAGAGTCCCAAGTTTGATTCCAGTCAAGGGCACATGCCCGGGTTGTGGGCTCGATCCCGTGTGGGGTGTGCAGGAGGCAGTCGATCAATGAGTCTCTCTTATCACTGATGTTTCTATCTCTCTCTCCCTCTCCCTTCCTCTCTGAAATCAATTTTATATATATATATATCTGGACCAAGGTACCATCTTCCCTGTACAGATGAGGAAACTTCGGTGAAAAAGATCCCTTGCCCAAGTTCTCACAACCAGGAAGCAATGGCATGACCTGATTTAACCACAGGGCTCTATGGCTGCCCTTTTTGTATTTATTCCATCAATGACCATTAGAGAGATGGAAAAAGGGTACTTACAACTCAAGGCCAGAGCACAATGGCCATCTGTCATCTAAAACAAACCTGTATTTTCTCCAAGCACCAGACATTTCAAGTTAGCACAGTTCTGAAATGTGCCCCATTAGACACCCCATGACCTTGCATCGCACAGGCAGTCCCTGATATCCTCCCCGACACTATCTGGTCCCCACTCTTCTCTGACCTCATCAGCCACCCTTCCCCTCCTTCATTCTACTCCAGCCCTATTGTCCTCATGCTGTTTCTTAAAAGCATCAGGTTGGACCTTTGTACTTGCTATTGAATGCTCTACCTCCAGAGAGCTGTAGGGCTCCCTTCAGGTCTCTGATCAGGTATCGACTAGACACGTTCTCTGATCACCCTCTATAAAAAGGTGCCTGTGCTCTGGCTCTTTCCATGGCTTTTTCTTCTTTGTTTTTCTCCAGAGCCATCCTACATATTATGTTCATTCTTTGCTGAATAAAGCAATGAACCAAAACAGAGAGGCCCCTCTCTCCTAGCTACCACCTCCTATTCTAAAGGAAGCCTGTCTTCCGTGCTCATTCTAACTAGTGTGTGCCCTGAAGAGAAAAATCAGATGGGGTGATTTTCCCCAAGGAAGCATCAGGCATCCCTCTCCCCTGGAAAACCAAACGTGCCGGCAGGCACAGGCAAAGACTGGGGATCCTGGACACCGTGGGCCAAAGAGCAGCCAAGTCACATTCCACCCACAGAGCTCCAGTGGCCAGCAGTTTCAGTTTCAACTCACCTACCCGGCTCCTTGCTCCTCAGGTTTGCAACCCCACCCCGTCGCTTTCCCACCCAGTTGGAAAATCTCAGCCTGTTGGGTTTCCCTGCACCTTGTCATCCCTTTTAGGAGCTGAGCCAGAATCCAAACCGTCCCTGAGCTCTGAAGCAGGGCTTTGGGGGAACTTAAGCTCATCCAACAGGTAGGAGGGGCAGTCCGACATGATCCCCCATTTTGTAGGGGCATTCAACAGGGAGTCATTTTCTCTCTGGAGGAAGGCAGCTCAGTTTTAAAGGCACGTTTCTCAGACCTGGCAGCAGGGGCAGAGGAGGAGGAAGCCCTCCCACCATTGGCCGAGACGGACCTGTGCAAGTGGTTGTAGCTGCGATGCTGAAGCGACGCCGAGGCGCCGAGGCAGGAGGGGAAGGGGAGGGACGCAGAAACATCCCTTGGCTCTGGGATCGAAGGGGATGCTTCCTCACCTGGCGGCCGCCGAGGAGCGGAGGATGCGGCCCGGGCCGGCGGGGGATGTCGTCAGGCTAAGGGACGGGGTCTGAGGGAGACGGGGGTCGAGGAGGCGGAACTTGGGTTCCCGGGGGCGGGAG